ATAAATATGATCAAAAAGAGTTAATTATGATAGAGTCTTTATTTCAAGTCATAGTTTATCAATATAATTAATTTATTTTTTTTATAGATTTTATTACAAATTTTATTATTAGATATAGATTAACTAAAATATCATGAAAATAATTTCTTTTTTCAGTGAAAAGATTTGAAAAAAAAAAAATTTAAATTAAAACATGTATGAAAATAGGTATTTGTAAAGTTTCATTTTTTTGAATAAATTCTATATTAAGCTAGTATATTAGAAATCTTTGTTATAGATTTTATCAAAAAAATTATAATTAAAAACTACTATATTTTAAGAATTGATAGGTGATAAATTAGTATTAGTAAAAATATGAGTTGCTTTTAAAAAGGATTATTTTAGTTTATGTATTTATTATGTAATAATATATTAGTATAAAGATGAAGGTAAGAATTGTTTTAAGCTATTAATAGCTTATTTTAGGTTTAGATTGTGAATTAGATTTAATAAAAAAAAATATGATGATTTTAATAGAAAATAGATGAAATTAATATTGATATGAGAAATATATTATATATCCTATTTGATATTATAATTAGTATTATTTTTATTATTCAGTTTTTAAGAAAGCTTCTAATATTTTAGAATATAAGTTGTAAACTCTAATATTTTCGTGAATATATCATATTTTAATTATATTTTGTTATATAGAATAGAAGTTGTTGTTCAGAGTTCCTTCTAAAAATAATATAATAAATAGATGAAAAGTATTTTCTTTTATATATGATAATAGAAATAATTTTTTGTTATATAGAAGAAAGGTAAAAAATTAGAATTTTATGTAAGGTTTTTTACAAGATTCACATGAAATTTTAATTGAATAATACAAATAAGGTTAAGATAGAAAGATAGAGAAATATTAGATATATGTTATTATAGCAGATAAATAGCAGATAGATTATAAACTATCTAAGACATTTTTTAGAATATAAGAGTTTTCGTAATAAATATAGGCAATTTGAGACTATTGGATTAGAATATTATTTTGAAATTTATTGTATAATTTTTGCATTTTTGAGAAGAAGTTTAATATGTTAATTATGAATTTTTTTGATTAATATTTGAAAATATTAGATTAGAATTGTTAGTAGTTTGAATTGTGAATTTAGAATAGTTTCATAATTATTATTAAATTATAAATGTTATTTAATTAGTAAGTAATATATTTTAAGAATTTTGCAATCTTTTTTAGAAGAGTATACTGATATTAGGTTAGGATTATGATTATGTAATTAATCATTATTTGGACATTAAGATCAGAATATGGTTTATATAAAAATAAGAATCAGATCAATTATTAGTATAGATCAAAAAAATATTCAATGAAATTTAGAATAATTCAAAAAAAAGTTTAATAAAATTTTATAACAATTCAAAAAAAAAAAAAGTTTATTTTCTGATTAAAAATTTTTACACAAAAATTATCATGCATTTAGTTATATTTTTTTTACATATGATTTTATGTGTCATTACATAAAAAAATATTTATTTGTGATTGTGACAGAATATAAAAAAAAATTTTGATTATCATAAAAATATGATAAAAACGGATCAAATTTGTTAAGAATTTATTTGATTAGTTTATTTCAGAGGAGTTTTGTTTAGGAAGGGAATCAGTTTTTAAGATTAGATTAGCTTGTAATGCTGCAGTAAGATTTTGTTGTCAAGTGGGATCCATTTGTGACAGAGTGTTCTTTTGTGAAATTTTTCGGAGTAGCTCCTCAGGGTAATCGATTTTTTACTGAGACTATTATTGATTCATAAAAGGTTTAAAGTTTGGGTATTTGGAAGTTAGAAGAAACTAAGGATATATCAACATAAAAATCAAGAATTGACTTTCCGTTAGAATTTTGAATAGTTTTAATTATAAGTCCCGAAGCGATCACATTTAAGCTTATGATAAACATATCATATACTCTAAATGCATAGATTTAATAGTGATTGTGTTAATCTTAGTTAAATTTTGTTATATTGAATTTTTTTTTATTTGAAGGTTTATTGAGTTAAAACATATTATGTAATAATTGGAATAGGTAACAAATTTCCTTTCAAATAGATAACATTTTTTGTTTTAAAGGGATTGATGTGAAATTCGATACTTGAATCTAATGGGATAAATATTCTTATTTGTAAATAGGCAATTTTTGTTGGATCAGTATCATTTAGTCTTGAAATTCCTATAATTTCTTTAACATTATAGGTAATGATATTGATTCTTTTTTTAGAAAGAAAATCGTGTAAAAAGAAGATTTTTATTTATTTATTTTTTTATTAAGGGATAAAATTTTTTTTTAATTAATTAATCAAGGGATAAATTATTGTGATAAGAAAGATCTCGGAAAAATTCAATCTGTGAAGGATCATTTTTAGTAAACATTATGGGTAAATCTTGTAAAGAATCTTATGAAGAACATATGTAGAGTTTTTTTTTTGAAGATTTGTGTTCTTTTTCGCATAAAAAATGGTTTCGGTTGCTGATACTTTTTTTTTTAATCGGAAGTTTATTTTGAAATTAGAGATTTGTATTTTACGCACTTGCACAAAATGCACCCCCATATTTATATATGTTGAAGCGGAGTTAGGGTTAGTATTTGGATTAGGGTTAGGGTTATTTATCACAACGCATCAATTCCCTATGTGTTTCATTTTTACGGCTTTATTCTAGGAACAGAATTTTTTTTTATAGAAAAATTTTTGTCACCCATTATATCACACGCCCTGCATTTCTTCCAAAAAAATAAATTTGATTTAATAAACAGGATATGGTATTTATAGGCTAGCTATACGAAGGGAGAAAATCTATTTAGTCATTGGGCGGAAGAGGACTATAAAATTCAGAAGGATGGTTTCTTCTAATTTGGGTAAGCAGATCTGACCATAAAAGAATATGCGGACTTTTGGGTAACTAATCTAAGCGAAAACGCTGGGTATAATATTTTGCCTGCCTGTTAGAACAATCTAAGGGACTTCATTGGAAAATTTTATTCTAAAAATATTATTTATTGTTTCAGATACCGAGTTCAATTAGAAATTGCCTCAAATTTTTAGTGAATTTATATAATTTTGTGCCATATTTCAACGGCTGTTAGCAGTTGAAAATGTCTTCTCGCCGTGATTATGATCGGTCGCGATCTCCGTCTTCTCGTTCAAAGAGTCATCGCGTCCACTTGAGAGAAGGTAATGAAGGCGAATATAATGAACATAAGCCTCGAAAAGAGAAAAAACACAAGAAAATTCATGACCATTTGGATACCGATTCAAATAATTCTCACAAGCAACCGAAAGGATTTAAATGTGCGTTATAGTTTTAATTTCTTTAGGTGGCGAATAAATTGAACCAAATTATTTTTGTATATTAGCTATTTCGGAAGATGATTATTTCTCAAAGTCAACAGAATTTCGTATTTGGTTGAGAGAAAATAAAGATAAATTCTTTGATGAACTGAGCTCTGATCAAGCACACCGTTATTTTAAGAAATTCATTAGTTCTTGGAATAAATGCAAATTAGACAGTGAGTACCTTCTTACATTGATAATTGTTTATTTTTCGTCTAATTCACATTATTATTATTATTATTATTAGAGAAATATTATGATGGCATTCGATCTTCGCAATTAATGAATTCAGAAACGACTAGATACAAATGGAAGAATTTAAAAATTAATCAAGATGAACTTGATTCCCTTAAGCATTCGATAGATAGACAGACTAATACTAAATTTGCAATGGAAGTTCAAATGAGATCTGGAAAAACCGATCAAATAAATAAAAGGACTATTGGTAGGCAAATTTTAATTAGAATCGAAACCTATTTTTTTTTTTACATTTTTTCTTTCTTGCAGGTCCAACTATGCCTCCTACACCATTGCAAGGTGGTAATGAAGGTGAGATTATTTTAATTAAATTGCGAATAGAGTTGAATTTGCTGTAAATACTCACCTTGTTCCGAACTCGTAGAAATGGATCAAGAAGATAGGGAACGTTATGAACGAACGTTGAAAAGGAAAGAGCGTAAAGATTTTCAAAAAACACATGAAGCTGTTCTTGATGAATTAATACCAAAAGCAACAGGTAAGGTTAGGTGATGAAAGTTGTAACTTATATAGTAAGTTAACGAGTATTGTTTTATTTATATAGGGAAGGAAGCTATGATTGAAAAGAAAAGGACCAAGAATGCATATTATCGAAGAGAAGAAAGTCCGGATGTCGAATTAAATGAAAGGGATCTTATGGGAGATGATGATTTTCGATCGAGGTAATTATATTTTATTATTTGAACCGTTTTCTACATTATCACCTTAATTTCTATTTATTACCGACAGGTAAAGATGATTGTAGCTGGTTTCAGAATTCATGATTGGCAAATCATAACTATCTTCGTTTTTATAGTTTTGCAGCACAAAAACGAGCAAGTGATGCACGTGAACAGCGAAAACAAGCTTATAAAGCAGAGAAAGCAGCAAGTTTACAAGAGAAAGCTATTGCATATAAATCAAAGGAACAGGGTACAATGGAAATGTTTAGAAGATTAGCGGAAGAACAACGTAAAGCTGGACGTGGAATGTGGAGCAAATCTAATAACGATAATGATTCGTAATTTATTATGTTCAGGTTTGTTTGTTATATGTTACTGTAGTCTAAAAATTATTAAGGTTATTAGTGAAATTTATCGCGTTCCAATAAATCATTACAAATATTATATATTAAGTTTTGTTTCGTAAAAATTTAAACTATTCTTGGATGGGTTATATATTAATTAAACTTTTCACAGCATATGATTTAGTTTACAAGTGATTTAAAGTATTAAAGAAAATAAAAATTAAAATTAAAGGTTTCGGCTTAACAATTACGATCTAAAATCAATAAAAAAAAAAGATTTTTTTTTTTAAAAATTAATTTTTAAATTTTACTATATTTTTTTTTTTTTTTTTTTTTTTTTTTTTTTTTTTTTTATAAAATGGCAAACATCAAAATAATTGAAGAATATAAAAACATTGTGCTTGAAGAATATAGACAGGCTGAGGAGAGATTGGATGGGAATGAAAAGAGTTGAGGATTGAAGGGAGGAGGTTGAATAGTCAAGCAATAAGAGAAAAAAATGAGGAACAAAAGAATTTTTTGGAAGAGGATAAGAGAGATTTGGATGAGGAAATAAAAGCTTTAGAGAAATATAAAGAGGAATTGAAGAAGGATAAAGACGACAAGTGGGAATTTTATAAAAATTTACAGAATAAATCAGTCGATTTAGCTAAAGGAGAAGGTAATGAACAAATTGCGTAAACAAAAAATTATTTTTTCGTCCATTATATCTCAGATTAATGTTCGCATTTATGAATACTAAATACTTATTCATTTGTTGAGAGAGTATTGGTATATCGTTTCTGACCTGCGTTTTTTTTCCTTTGTTATTTATTATTACTGATTCACTTGACATTATCCCAATGTTCACTTGTTATTTCAATACCTTTTTTAAACGGAAATTAGCTAAAGAATTGTTTGTGATTCCTTTCTATCTAATCCATCTGCATTTTTTCATTAATAGCTACTCCGATACCAGACTCAATGGACGTGACCTTGAAACGAAAGCATTACCACATATCGTAACATGGATGAAATGGTGAAGAGACTAAAGAAAATTACACCATCCAGTTACAGCAGCTCTAAACAAAATGACCCAGAACTCAGTGGCATAATCCTTAATTATCGCACAGAAAGCCCTGACATCCGTTGTCATTACTGTGGGTTATAGCGTAAGTTTATCATTCAGCCCACTTTTTTCTAAACACATTTTCCAATGCAGTTCGAATCTTGATCACGTCATTTATGCAAAACTTCAAATCACTAACAAACAGAAATTATTAGTTATCAACGTCTACATCCCCCCAAATAATGATAAGATCACTAAACAAGTAAATTATTACATTACTCAGTTCCTTGATGATGTGATCAAAAATAACTATCATATTATTCTCCTTGGAGATTTTAACGCAGACTTAGATTGAAAAAATAATAACCTATCCTGATCGATTTCATTTATGAATTCGTTAACCCATTTTAATTTGTATGATATTTTTACCATTATGTATGCTAACGATCATTTTAAACGTGTTATTCGTCTGAAACAACTCACGTTAATGTATCGATTATATCTGGATGTCATTATTAACCTATTCAATACTGATACAGATCTGTTGATTCTACCATCTCAGATCATTGAATTGTCACTTCCAAATGTATTAATTTTCTTAAAATTACTCTAACAGCCATAACTACCTCAAGAAATCTTTCTTTAATTATAGAAAAATGGATAGTTAACAGTATTGGCAAATACCTTAAAATGATCTAATCATGTGATAATTTTAAAATCTATCACGTGATCATATACAAAGTGATCTAGATCATTTCAAAAGAAGAAAATAACCTTAAATTTTATTAACACTAGTTCAAAATGGCTACAATTCAGTAATAAGCTTGATCATTTTATTAACAATTGTGTCTTAAAAGCTCTCACTTAGTCTACAGAATGTTACAATCAGTTTTAAGTAAATACTGTGAGATCTATTCTAAGATATACTAAGGGCAGTGACAGATATTACGTAATATCATTTTATTATAAGCGTCTACCCCCACCCCCAGGTAAGATATTCTGATCACGTGCAAATATATCAAGTCATGTGATCCTGACATTTTATTATCAGAGTCAAAGATTTTGATTAATTATACAATAAAATTAGTTTTTGATTAACTATATTAAAAGTTAAAATTAAAAGTTTAAAGATTAACGCCTTGTAAAAAGTAAAATATTAATAAATTAAATTAAATAGCTATTTAAATTTGATAAAAAATGTTCAAAAATTCTGTTAAAATCAAATCGAAAATATGATGGCTAAGATTTCGTGAAATTACATTGTTGTTGTACTATGATGATCATGTTTTTTACTGTAGGAGTTTTTTAACACGTTCTTGACGTATTACAGAATATTTATTTTGCATTTGGCTACCTGTTTCACATTTTGCATTCATAAACATACAAATACTTTATCCTAAAGATTAAAAATAAGCAGGCAAACATTTTTTTTTAGTCTTAAATTCAATAAAAAACCAATATATGATTCACCAAATAACAAGTATCAAGAGTTTACAAATGTTTATGTATATAGTGTTATGGTAAAAATAAGTAATTATACTTCCAATTGTGCTGCTATTTGTCATGAAGCCACAAATAAATGGAATAATGTTAAGAAAGAGAGTGCTAAAAAAATTGATGATATAATTTGAGACTATATGACCACATCGCTTAATCTTTATAATATACAATTAATAAGATACAAGCATTCTGTACCTATAATGCTTATAGAAAAACCAAGTCTTTCACTTCCTACCATTCATTCAGTAAATATTTTACCAGAAATTCCTACAAATACATCGGCTTAAAAAAAAGTAGCTGATGCAGTCAAAACAACTGAAAAAAGGCTTAACAAATTTGAGCAAATTTACAATATAACTAGTGATGCTCAGATTCATAATGACATGTATCAAAAAATAGAAAACTTGCAGAATGAAATTAAATCTAATAAAGATAAAATTACCAAGTTAAAAAAATATGCCAAATATATCCAAAATTGCAGAGAAAAAAAACTAAAATTACTTATCAAAAATCAGGAGATTGTCCGTTATAATAAACCTGGAAAGCCATCATTTCTTTTCAAGCATCTGAATTTGCATGACCGTATATATGATTGCATAGAATTTGGATCAGCAGATGTAAAATGACAAAAAGAAGCTGTTAAAGTCTGGATCATAGAAAATTTACGCAAAAATCTTGAAGAAAAATATAATATCTATATAGCGAGAACTACCTTAAATAATTACTTAATACCTCATCAAGCAAATTTGATCACCACAAAAGCATATCACCATCCGGCATGGGTTGCTGTTGCCAGAGTTTCACATACTGAAATGCATGAATATCCTGATAGTCACTATTGCCTTACGTCAGTAAAATATGTAAAGCAATTTGCTAGCATTTTTGCTGATGTTTCAGTTGTTATCTCTTAAGATGATAAGGTGAAAATCAGTCTTAGAGTATCTGTAGTAGGTTACACATTCCGTATATTGCAATCCATTAATAAACCTACAATTATAGCAGATCACAATTTTCCTATAGGGTTCAGACAGAAATTAATTTCATCAGTGTATTTGATGATAAACCTAAACAAATCTAATGATAAATTGTGGATAGGACAGTTAGCAATTTTTATACGTTCTCATTGGTCTCTTGGAACATCCTCACTTACACATATGCAAGATTTGGAAAGCTTTACCTTAAATCCCCAATATGAAGGCACATTAAAAACAGATGGAAAAATTCGACCGATATGAATCTTATTGGTAGATGGAGGGCCAAATGAGAATCTTAAACACTTAAAAAATATTAAGGTCTATTGTCAACTTTTCAAAAAGTTTGATTTAGATTTTTAAGTATGCAAACACATGCTTTAGGGCAATCAAAATATAATCCGGTTGAAAGAGGTATGGCAACATTGTCTAGTAAACTTGCCAGTATCACTTTACTAATTAACCATTACGGTACACATTTGAATACACAAGAGAAAGTTGTAGATCTGGAATTGGCTGCTCAAAATTTTTGCTATGCAGGAGAAGCTTTATATGAAATTTGATGTTGTGATTTAATTTTTGGAAAGAAGATTGATGCTCGTTATGTTAATGTACTCACGAATCCATTTGAGCATATACAATTAGAGGGAACAGAAAAAGAAAAGGTTGAAGAATTAAAATGGAAAAAAAAAGAACAGAAAAAATCAAAAATACAGACAAAGAAACAACACATACCTTTTCTGAATCTTTTGTATAATGGTCTTAGATCAAAACCCATTATAATTTGTGCATCTACTCTCTTGATATTAAACAATGCACAAATACCAGTTGCTGTGGACCACCCAGAGTCAAGGAAGTTATGGACTTTCTTCACCTACATAATGGTTTCTTACCACCTATTACCAAAGCTAGAGATGGCCAGTTTACAAATCTTATTCATCTTCTTCAATATAACGATCTCTTGAAAATACCAGGATATGATGCACATTGTACATCGATTAAAAAAATACATACTTACAACTTTGCTATTCTGTTTGTCAAAAATACTTTCCCACTCTCATATTTTTGACAAATAATAAGCGATTAATGCATCCTACTACCTGAAGATGGCCTAAAAAACAACAAGCTTTCAATGATTTCTCTCTTCTTCTATCTCAACAAACAGAATCGTATGGTGAAATGGAGTTTGACTTGAGGACTTGTAATTCAGATGGGAAATAATATTTTATTATAAAGTATATATGCGTATATATGATCTGTATAAATACACATTTGTAAATACATGTTTAATAAATTTTTGTTAAGCCACTATTATAATGATTATCATATTGCTTACGTGATCTCAATATTATATATAACGTAAGATCTCCTATAAGGACTCCTGTTACCCCCTCACCCCCTAAGATATTATGTAATATCTGTCATTACTCTTACTAGACCTACCTATTAATAGGTAAATATTATAGTTTCTAATAAGATTATAATAAAAATAGTATATGACAAACTTTATATCTTAAGTAACTCCTTTATTCTAATTTAGTAATAAAATTTTTATAGATTTAGTTAAGATGAAAATAAGTGATATATAATAAACTAATTATTTTTAGTAATTTATAATACTGATGATAGTCCATAAAATAGAAGTTTAACTATAATTATTTTATAAACTGCAAAACTTATCTTAAGATTTAAGTTAATATACATTAGAGTTATAAGAGTTTTTTAAGAATTTTATATATTATAATAGCTACTGATATAAGTTAATTTCATTAAATAAAAAAATAAATAAATTTATAGATTCACAATTTAATAATAGTCAACTTTTTATAAATGCATTCCCTTTAAAACTAGATATAAAAGGAAGGTATACATTTATAGAATATATATAAATCTATATAATACTAATCTAAAATTTAAATAATACAAAAAGTTTATAAGTAAATTATATAAAATTTTTTATAAAGAGCATATACAGTCTGATGCAAAAGTCTTTGGACAAATATTTTTCGACATAACTTCATAACGACTACACTAAATCATATGGTAAAATATTTATGCGAAAGCTAAAAAGCAGGAAATTTTATTAAAAAAAAAATTAATAGGGAATGCATTTCTCATTTTTCTCAATAATAAGCTTATATCTCTCCTTTATTGAACCAACTAGACTTTTAATAATGTTCTGTAGAATTTTTGACCATTCCTCCTTCATAAAATTTTCCAAATCTCCAATATTTTGTGGTTGTCGCATCTCCACATTTCTTTTAACAATTGCCTATAAATTTTTTATGGGTTTAAGTCAGGACTGTTTGATGGCCAGTCTATAACAGCTAGAACTTTTCTTTGCAGAAAATCCTTAGCTACATTGCTCGTATGCTTAGGATCATTATCTTACTGGAGATGCTAATTATTACGTAGCATTCTCTTGATCTCAAGAAGATGCTTTTTTATTTTTCCAACATAGAATTGCTTAGTCATATTCTCTCAGAAGCAGTAAAGACTGGTTTTGCCCTAAATACAAAATCCACCCCACACGTTAATTCTTGTTCAGTCTTTTAGGATGTGATGAACCAGTCATTGACCCTTATACCAATATTTCACAGTGTTACTAAATAACTAAAAGGATGTTTCGTCTGAAAAAAGAGTGCGATTCCAGTCATCATTCATATGGTTTTGGGCCCATTCTATATGTTTCTGCTTATGCAACCTTATAAGTATTAGGGTTGCAATAGGTCGCTTCTTATCATAGCCAAGGTTGGTTAAGTGCTATAAAACTGTACTGTAGGATACGTTTATACCCTTTAGCGATAATTTAGACACTAATTTTCTAGAAGAAACTGCTGGATTTCTTCTAATATACTGCCCAAGAGCTTTTGAGCTCTCTGAAGTGATTTTTTTGGGGCGACCAGGGCATTTTTTGTGGATGATGCTTCTGGTTTTTTTCAATTTTACCAAGTTGAAATATATTGTGAACCTTAGTATATTTGTTTTACGTCTTATTTGGTTGCATTCGTAATCCCAAAATTCTACAAATGTTGAATGGATTGAGCCTACGCAGTCTTGTTGTCAGTCTTCATTTCGTCGCTAAATTAAAAAAATTTTTTCTAAAATAAAGTTGACAATTAAAACGCCAATTGATTATCCAGATACTATATTTTAAATGTTTAAAATTTAACCCGATTTGGATTTAAATTGGCTGATCTATGTGACTTTTAATTTTATTACTGATTGTTCAAAGACTTTTGCATCAGACTGTATATATAAAAATATACATTTAGCACTAAACCTTAAGTTAGAATCAGATAAAAAAATGTATTTATAAAAAGTATGTATTTATAAAGAATATATTTATAAAGAATTAACTATATTAAAAGAAAAAAAAGTTAATAAAAAGTGTAAAAAAATCTAATCTCTTTATTAATATTAAATTATCATATAAGTTTAAAAATAAAGAATCATTTTCTATTAAAAAATAAGCATTAAATGATATTTTAAAATAACTATTTAATAAAATAATATATTAAGTATAGTATATACTAGTCTGAGTATTATATAAATATTAGAACTTTGTCAGTACATGTATATTATTATATATAAATAAAAAAAAATAAATATAATGTAGATTTAGTTAATTGATCAATTTTATTATTATAAGAATCATTAAAATAAGCAATACTTTTTATAAAGAATAAAGAAATATTATCATTTGTAATAATTTAAATATAAAAAATCAATAAATTTTAAAAATATATATATATATTTTATCTATTAATTTTATTTAATAATTATTATAATAAATCTTTTTAACTATAATTTGTAGTAATTATTATTATATTACATGATACTATTAGAATTTAAATTTAACATTAAAAATTAAAGATATATTAATTTAAATAAATTAAAATGAATTAAAACTAATAAAAATAATATTTAAACATGTAATATATTAAAATTTTGATTGTAATATATTCAATAAAATTTTTATAAGATTTTGATAATAAAGGAACTGAACTTAAATTATTATTAAATTTAAGTCTTAACTTGAATTATAGTAATAATATGAGCTTAATTAATTAAAGAATATTTGCATTATGCTAAGTTAAACAAAAAAAATTATAATTTTATTTTACATATATATATTTCTGATAATAATTTATAATTAAAATTTATATACAATCAACTCTCTCTAAATGCATCCATTTAGGACTATAGTGAAAAATTTAAAAAATATACATTTAAAGAGAATGTACATTTAGAAAGAAAATTTTTATTTGAATTCTATACTTAGAACTGAATAAGAGTATGTATTTAAAAAGAAAATATAATATATGTAATTAAAGAGAGTGTATTTAGGGAGTTGACTGTACTAAGAATATTCAATTTTCTTAAAAGAATATTGATGTTAATAATTTAGATTAATTACTTTATTAGATATTAATTTATCAGAATGACTATATTTAAATATCTACAGTAAATAATCTTATTGTCTACTTTAATACGTTTATAATTTAAAATAAATTCAATTATTTTACATATTAGTTTAGTTGACTTTAATTTTTTCTCATAATAAAAAGAATTTTATTAATAATTTAAATAATATATTCAGTTATTTTTTTCATAGATTCAATATGATTGACATTTTATTAAAATCTATATTATTTTAAAGATATTCTTATTTATCTTCAATAGAGATAAATTATTTAAAATCTAATTACAAAAAAAACAAATATTATGATCAAAGACTTACTTTCTATAATTATATTTATAATAAATAAAAGTAAAGAGAGAAAAAAATAATAAAATTTATTTTATTGATTATATTATATAATTTTTATATAATTATTTATCATATAATCATAATTACACAATAATTACAAGTAATTTTTCAATATAAATATTTAAATTTAAATTAGAAAAATAGATTAATAGTATTAAAATAAGGTAAATTTAATCAAATAATAATTTAAATAATATTTTTTAAATTATATAATTATTTAAAATTAAAATTTAATATAATAAGACTGTTTAAAATAAAGTAATATTTAATTTTAATAATTTTTTTTATAAAATAATATATATTTAAAATTTATAAAAAAAACTAATTATTATTCTATTATTTTATAATAAGAATAAATCACATAATATTATTATATAAATTGTTAAAAGAAAAACTTGTGTATTTTATTTATATAACTGTATTCTATTACTTTAATAAATATTTTTTCTTTTTATAAATTTATATACTATTTTATAATTTAATTATTATTATTTATACAGTATATGTATTCTAAATATGATCATTACATACAAATTTTTTTATTATATTAATAAATTATATAAATTAATATTTTATAATAAAATTTATAATAGATATTTTTGTTAAAATCTCCAAATATTATTTTTGACATTGTATTTTTAAAATTTATTGATTAGAATTAGGTTATATTTTTAATATACCTTAGATAAAATCCTAAATAATAATATATAAATATCTTATTTTAATTTGAATTACTAAATATTAAAATATTGATATAAATAATAATATAAAAATAATTTTAATTATAGATTTTAATAATATTAAATTTAATAGTTTAATATCCTATTGATTTAAATTAGCTTAAATTTTAATATATAATAAATAAATAATATATTAAAATTTAAGCTAATTTGAAATATTGGTTATTAAGATTATTAATATAAAAAATAATGATCTAAATTTTTAATATTCTTTTTTGATATTTTAATATTATTACACAAAAGAAGACATGGATGATGACGATCTAAAGGATGACATCAATCCCTAAAAAATCATATATATCTTCTATGTCATCTATATTATCTATAGCATATATTTCTTTTATACAATATATTTATTTTATTTATTTTATTTTATTTATCTTATATATCTATTATATTTTACTTATTTCATATATTTTATTTATTATATTTATTTCTTTTATATCTTCAGTAACTTTATATTTTTCATTTTATATAAATAGAGAACAATTTCTTTTAGCTTAGCAGAGTGTCTAACTTATAGTTTTATATAATAGTTTAATTTAATTCCTCTAACATAATTGTATAATATAGAGCGCTGACTGAGGCAGTACTTCATTGTTATAGTTATTAAATAAACTTTTAATTTATCGATACTTTTCTAAATCTAAATATCAAATTAAATCTTCTGCTTACCATCCATAAATATTGCTTCGCTTATTACTCATAAGCATCTTAAAGAACTGACTGTAACAATATATTTATTTATATAAAATATATCAAATTACCAATAATCAATCATTTAAATTAGCTCAAATTTTGATATTATATATTAAAATTTAAATTACAATCAATCCTCTCTAAATTCATATTCTCAGAACTATAGTGAAAATTTTAAAAAATGTGCATTTAAAGAGGGTATGCATTTAAAGAGAAAATTTCTATATGAATTCTATATGCTTGGGACTGAATAAGAGTGTGTATTTAGAGAGAAAATATATAGTGTATGCATTTAGAGAGGGTTAACTGTAATTTAAATTACTAGATATTAAAAAAAAATTAAATTTAAATTTTAATATAAATCTATAATAGAAATATTTTATTTATATTAATATTTTAACATTTTAGTAATTCATTTAAATAAAATTTTATATGTAATTATTTAAAATTATATCTAACTATAATTTCAATTAGTAAATTAATAAAATTTTAGGTTAAAATTAATGAAAAATTAGCTATTAAAGAAAAAAAATCTAATTCTATAACAGATTTAAAAGCCTTTATATAAATTTTATAACCTTTTTTTGCATAATTTGATAATTCCGGCTAGAATTTAAAAATCTGCAAACGAAGATTATTGGCCGATTGAGTTGCACATTGATTTTATTTGGAAATCAGAAATGATGACGTTTACGCGAATTTCTGACCTAATCCCCACTTTTTGCAACTCGATTCATGTTTTCCGATATATAAGGACACCCTTCAATGGAAGTTGCAACTTTTTACCGTCGAAAGCTTTTCTTATTACTAGGGCAGCTTCGCTGTTCTTTTACCCACTTATACAATATATTCTTGAAATTTTTAACATTTACCGAACGTTGATCGATTACGATTTCTTCCTTTTAAATAAAAACTTCAACTTTTCTGTAATCATAATTTCTATCACTTAAATTATACAAGAATTCCGTCAAAAATGGCGGGCTCAGAGTACTCCTCCCCGGAAATATTTGCTGCTAGGTTAGCAGATCCTAATATTGGTAAGTTTTCTTAATTTTTTTTTATTTACTTTGGTAACATTTTTTTTTATCATATTAATACTCCGTTTCATTTCGTAAAGCAACTAAATTAAAGTTGACGATTGCAATTAATTTGAGGGACTCTATTGAGGCATATCAAAATGCGGACTATAGCCATTTTTTAAAAGTATTGATACCGGTCTTGAAAAAAATACTTGAAGGTGAACCACCTGTCTTTGATAGTAACTCCGAAGAACAAGTAAGATTTTTTACCTCTAATAAATTAGACTATAAATTTCTTTGCTTAAATTTTAATGTTGTATATATCTATTTACAGAAATTAAGAAACCTTCTTTTAGAAGTACTTTATCGATTACCTCAAAATGATGCACTGAAAACCTACGCAGCTGAATTATTACAACTCTTAATGCATTTGTTAAGAATAGAAAACGAGGATAACGCTGTAATATGTTTAAAAATTATTATTGAATTACATAGAAGTTATAAAGTACTTTTAGAAGATCAAGTCCAACCCTTCTTAGACATAGTCAAAGAAATGTATGTAAATATGGAACAAGCAGTAAAGGATGCCTTTGATTCACCTGGATCTTCTGCAACGCCTGGTGCCAGCACTGTAAGTTCATTTTATATTTGTAATTCGCGTATTATGTTTATGTCTTTTTCTCATGATCTTTTGTTTTATCACCAACCAAATAGCCAATTCAACCAATAGTGCTTGTGCCGCCATCTTCAAGACCTACATCTCCTGTATCTGATGTAACAACTAATGAAGCAGCACCAAATAAAGTCTTGGCAAAGAGCTTACATAGTTTCAAAGTCTTGACAGAATGTCCTATAATCGTAGTTTTACTTTTCCAATCATACCGTAAATCTGTAAATACAAACATTCAAAATTTTGTTCCACTCATAATAAAGGTATTTATTAGTAATGTAATATCTCGGTATTTACTCAGTTAAACCACTGATTAATTGAAAATTTTATCGGGTGCATGTTTTTTTTTAATTATTTAGACGTTAGGACTTCAAGCTCGCCCACAAGCAGAAGCACAGGAAGCGGCTAGAGTTAAAGGTCAAATTTTCGTTGGAGTGGCTCCAGGAATTAAGGACCGTGCAAAATACACAGAGTTCATTGTAACTCAAATCAAAGTAAGTATTTTATATAGTACATATTTATATATTTGAAATTTGATTTTTTTAAAACAGAGAATTAATTTATTCCATTTATTTTATGAAAAGACTATGTCATTCTTAGCGTACGTTTTGCGAGCTTACAAAGACAAACTAAGTAAATTTCAAGAACAGATACCAGATTTTGTTATTAGACTTCTTCAAGATTGTCCTCCTGAGGCTTCGGCAACCAGAAAGGTAAGAATGCGAATTAGGAAAAATTTAAAAGAATTTACGTGATTTTTGAGTTATAGTTAAAGCTTGTTATATTGACGTTATAATGACTTTTTAATTCTCCGATTCAATGTTATATAATTAATTTCTCTAAACTTTTATTAATGATCGATTACGAGCTTTGACTAATTTGTAACGCACTCATTCACAAGGTGACTTTCATTAATGCTAAAGATGAAAATCTTTTATTGCTAAATAGGAGTTATTGGTTGCAACGCGACATATCCTTTCAACAGAATTTCGAGACGCTTTTATAAGTAAAATTGATATACTTCTCGACGAGAAAGTATTGGTTGGTACCGGCGTTACGTCTCATGATACATTAAGGCATGTGCTATAAATAATATAATCTCAATCTTTTAAATTCATTTCTATAATTAAATCAATTCGTTATTATAGGCCAATAGCATATAGTATGTTAGCGGATCTAGTTCATCATGTGCGGAACAAGCTTACCCCTATACAACTTTCTAAAACAGTATACATGTATTCACGTAATCTACACGATCCGACTTTGGCCGCCGGTATTCAAACAATGTGTTCAAAGTTATTGTTAAACTTAACAGAATGTATTGTAAATATTCCTAATCAAGACGACAAAAATGAAGGTATGTTAATATCAAGTTTAAGCTTCAATTTTATTAACGATTGTGGCTGATAAGTTTCATCCATATTTAATAGCAAGGGATTTGTTAATAAAAATATTGGATACTTTTGCTACAAAATTTACAACATTAAAACTCCTTTTTATGGATTATCAACGTTATCATCAAAAAATGAAAATTACCGAATCGAATGACGATATTTCAACAGAGAAACCTGCTGATTATTTTGATTTTGAGCAAGCGCGACCTATTCATACAGCTTCACCTAGCGAATTGCAGCAAGATATTATAAGTGGTATTATATTTTTATATATTAAAATTAAAATATTTGCACGTTTGCGTTATCAAATATACTCAATATTTTAACGAATTATTGTTTCTTCAATTCTTTAGAGGGACGATTTTTATTCAGAAATCTAGTATCAGGTCTTAAACCTATTATAATTGGATTAAGACAAACAAACCCGCCACCGCCAGCAAATTCTGACATAAACCTTCAGGTGTATAATTTGGTTGCGCGTGGATTTTCACAAGAACAAATTGATATTTTTGTTCGTCTGTTTAGGGACGGAGTTTGTTGTTTTGATTACTTTGTGGAAAATTTAGAAAGTTCTCAAATTAAACTTGCCGAAAAATTAATGTCATTAGAAAGTTCGAATAGAATCGTACCATTATCAAAATTTGAAAAAGATGCATTGGAACATTTCAGTAGTGCATTTTTCTATATAGATCCTGCAATTTTCCAAGAAATATTTGCATCACAAATGGGACTCTTTTTTGACAAAATACTTCAAAATCCTTCACTGTTACAGATTCCACAATTATTTTTGGCGAGTGAAGTTATTTCGCAGAATTTTGCTGGGATTTTATTAAGATATCTTGTGGATAGATTGGACATGCTAGGTAGAAAAGATAAATTAAATTCTTCTATCATGCTTCGTCTATTCAAATTAGCGTTTATGTCTGTTACTGCTTTTCCGAATCAAAATGAAATGGTTCTTCATCCACACCTTGCTAATATTATCACTTCGTCAATGAAATTATCGGCCAAGGCTAAAGAACCATTCAACTATTTCATGTTGCTTAGGATTCTTTTCAGAAGTATTGGTGGAGGAAGATTTGAAAATTTATATAAAGAAGTTTTACCATTACTACCGATGCTTTTAGAAGGCTTGAATACTCTTCTTTCATTAACAAACAAGCAGCGTATGCGTGATTTATTTGTTGAATTATGTCTCACAGTTCCCGTGCGGCTTAGTGTACTTCTGCCTTATCTAGGCTACCTGATGAAGCCTCTAGTCTTGGCGTTACAGGCTGGTACGGAATTAGTTACACAAGGCCTAAGAACTTTGGAACTTTGTATTGATAATTTAACAGCAGAGTTTTTAGATCCTATAATGGCACCAGTTATTAATGATCTGATGCATTCCTTATGGAAGCATTTAAAACCATCACCTTATAATCAATCTCATAGTCTTTCAACGACAAGGATATTGGGTAAATTAGGAGGTCGAAATCGTCGTATGCTCAAGGATCCACCACAGCTTGCAACCAATATACCATCATTAAATGGGTTAGATATTCAAATTTATTTTGATCCTTCACCTTCGCCGCATTCATTTTCTTTAGATGAATGTTTATTATTGGCTATAAGAACATTGCAAGATTCTAACGTTACTCCTTTTCATAAAAAGCATGCTTTTAAATTTATATCTTCTACTATTCCACTTTTACTAGATGTAAATGAAGGAAATAAAAATTTAGCTGATTGTATTACTGAAAGAATTCATCAAGAATTTTTATCAAATGTAATAGGAGAAGAAAATACAGAAAATATTATCACATCACAGACAACTCATCTTGCTGACAATGTCAGCGATAATATGGACGTTGACTTACCTAATAATGAAAATTTGCCTTCTCAATCAACAATAGTGAAAAGAATTAAAAAGGAAGGACACAAGCAAATTTTGAGGAGGAAATATTTGCAAGAAGATACATTACAAAATGTTATTGTTTCGCTTTTTGTTGCCGCTTCTTTACCTGAGCTTAAGGAGCAAGCATGGCCTTTCTTGCAAAATATTTGCAGGCACTTTGCTTTGTTGGAGGTTGGTGAAGCTATTGATTTTCGTCGTGCTAGAGAGAAAAAATTTGAATTTTATAACTATGATAAAACATATAACTTGGAGAATAAAGTAATGGTGGAAGCCTTAGTAGAAGTTATGACATCTGAGAATAGTGATCTTCGCGAACTTGCAGCATCAGCCTTGAAAATAATGTACGAAACGTGTATATTGATCATAGGAAAAAAGGATGTTATATATTTTTTCCCTACATTTCATGTTTTGGCATCACGTTTTTGTTCATGTTGTTATAAACAAGAGTGGTATCGTAAAAGTGGAGGTTGTATGGGCATATCAGTTCTTAGTACAAAAGTTGATATGGGAACTCAATGGATGATGGACCATCAGCTTGAATTTGTTAAATCTTTACTCTTCATTTTAAAAGACATGTCATCCGAATTTTCTGCTGGCTATGTAGATAATGCAGCGGAGATCTTGTTACATGTTCTAAAAGTTTGTAATCGAATAGAATCTGTTGGTGGAGATGATATTCATATGTCAGATGTTCATGAATCATCTGATAAACAAGTAAAATTTGACAGGCTCATTACTCTATTAGTCACTGAACTTTCAAACGCCAATTCTACAGTTAGGGAAACGGTACAGTCAGCATTTTACCTTTTAGCAGAAATAACTAAGAAAGATGTGACTATCTTACTTTCTAAAGCGAGAGATAATTTATTAAACCCTATTTTTGGAAAGCCACTTCGAGCCCTTCCACCGTCAATGCAGATAGGACATATTGACGCGATAACTTTTTGTTTATCATTACAACCTCCGTTTTTAGATTTCCATCAGAATGAGGAACTAGTAAGGTTACTTAACGAAGCTCTTCAATTAGCTGATGCTGAAGACCAAAATTTGGTTAGTAGGACAACACAATTAAAGAATTCAGCATCTGCAATAAATTTACGGATCGTCTGTATTAAATTGTTATCTGCAGCGATGGCACGTTCAGAATCTTTTCCTCCAAGTACTGCTGCTAATATTCGAGCTCGGATTATAACAGTTTTTTTCAGATCACTATATTCAAGAGCACCTGAAGTTGTTGAAGTAGCAAATAAAGGACTCCAACAAGTTCTTCAACAACAACATAAACTACCAAAAGATTTGCTTCAAGCAGGTCTGCGACCTATTTTAGTAAATTTGTCCGATCATAAGAAATTGACCGTTCAAGGACTTGATGGTCTTGCTAGACTTTTAGAACTACTTACCAATTATTTTAAAGTAGAGATTGGTAAAAAGTTGCTTGACCATCTTCTTCAATGGGCTGAGCCTAATATTTTACAAGAAGCTGCTGGAAAGCCATTAATAGAAGTTGAATCTATCAGAATAATTGTTGCTATCTTGAATGTGTTTCATCTTTTACCATCAGCTGCTCATATTTTTTTAAAAGAATTGGTTCCTGTTGTTTTAAATTTGGAAGAACAATTACGTCGTTCAAAGTCTAGTCCTTTCAGGCTACCTCTTATCAAATTTTTAAATAGATATTCATCGGAAGCTATTGAGTATTTTTACGACAAAATTGGGGATAGTAAATTTAGTAGACTATTTGTCAATTTGCTTGGGTCAGAAGAAGCAACTAAACTTCGACAAGATATAATGGCAGACCCCGTTAAGTTAATTACCAAAACTTCAAGTATTCAGGATTCAAGTAATCCAGAAGAGGCTAAATTTCAAAGAATTGTCATTATTCGTAAAATAGTTAAATATCATCCAAAGTGGTTAATTGATCCTTCTTCTGAGCCAATTTTGGATTGTTTAAAACAAGCTTGGCATGATCAGGGACGTATTGATCGATTAAAAAGAGAAGATACTTTAAGTTTCTCGCAAACGCGAGAATCAAAATATTTGGTAGAAATTTTTATTAGCTACTTAAAAGTGAAACCTGATGATTACAACCTTTTGTTTGATCTGGTTACCATATTCTCTCATGGAAGTGTAATTGATTATACATTCTTGAAAAAATTTTATCAAGAGGAAGTTGCGATGAAATACACTGTGGAACAAAAGAAAACCATTCTTGACAAATTTTTAGATACTTTTGATGATCCATTCCTTCCAGCCTGTGACAAGAAACAATCTTTAAGAATAATTATTACTCCTATGCTTTTGTATTCATTCTCCAAAGGACAAGAACATGGTCAAATCATTGAAACTAGACAGATGGATAAGATACAGAATTTATGGCATTACTTGGCTGATACACATGATGAGATTGAGGACTCGTTACGTATTGAAGTACTTCAATTTTCGACCCTTCTTGTACAACGAGTCCCGCATATTATAACTACACGTAGTTCTCTTGCAAAATTCGGTTGGAATTGGTCGAAAGTTGATGATATTACAGCAAAACAAGCTGCCTTTGTCTTTTTAGCTCATATTTGTGCTGAATTTGATTCTATAAATTTTAAAATAATGTTTCAATCTTATGGCGCATTATTACGCGCTCATCAACCGGAGGCAAGAACACTGGTAAAGCAAGCTTTGGATATTCTTGCACCAGTTGTTCCTAAATACAAAGTGCCAGGACCTACAATCGATGAGAAGAAGGATAAAAATAAAAAAACACCACCTCCAACTTGGATTCATTATACAAAGAAAGTTCTTTTAGAGGATGGTCACAGCGTTTCTCAATTGGTTAATGTATATCAGATGCTTGTACGTCACCCATGTTTGTTTTATGAATATCGAGAACATTTTATGCCACAAATAGCGAATACTTTGACAAGGCTAGGATTGCTTCAGAACGCAACTGCAGAAACTCGAACTTTGACCATAGATCTTTCCGAGTTGATTTTAAAATGGGAAAAACGTAGAATTTCCGAATATCGTTCACAAGATCATTACAGTAATAATAGTTCTGCATCAACTCCTGTTGCAACACCCGAAAAACGAAGGTATGAAACAGAAACAGACTTTTCTCCACGAAAAAGACAATTAATTGATCATAGCGGAGAATTACGTGGAGTTGTATCCGACCAAAATTCTAGATACATTCCAAATCTCGGTTTGAGAGAGAATGTCATCAGTTATCTTGCTAGATTTGTGTGTACTTCTACCGAATCTGTCACCAAGAATGGATTGACTCGGAAAGCTCTCGAGTTAATCAAAGAATTCTTAAATACCGAATTTTGGCCTGAAGTAAATGTGAAATTAAATATTTTTGACCGAACCCTTAAGGCAGACATTTCGCAAAATACTCTTGACAGTATTTGTAATAGTTTGGACGTTCTCGACGTTATTTTAAGTCGAAAACCAGCTGATTGGTGTATCACAAATATTGAATATTTAAGAGAATTACTCGAGCGTAGTATTAAAAGCAATAATATACGTATCCAACGATGTCTTCATCCAGTACTGGTTCAAATATATAAAGCGTTAGCACCGTTGTTCCCAGTTGAGCCGATTGTTTCATCGCCAGAGCCACAGCCCGTAATAAAACCAGAAACAGATGTTGATAACTTCACTCAAGTGATTCAAGCAACGATACAAGATGGACTTCAAAATTTGGATAATTTATATAGCGTAATGATGTTGCTAAAAGCAGTGGGCGATTTTACACCAAGGAATATCGATAACTTCTTACCTGGAATAATACAAGTTGTTCAGAAACTTACAAAAGATATTACAACACCTGTACATAATAGTTCTTCTAATGGAAGCAATATACAAGTAGCACAGAAGCTTGCAAAAGATATTACAGCACCAGTACAAAATACTACTTCTGGTGGAAGTAATATTACTAATAATAATAATGGACAGAATCCAGAATCTCCCGTTGATATTTTGATCATGTCATTACAACTAGTGAACTCTCGGATTTCAGAATTAAATGAATCAAGACAAGCTTTCCTTACATCTCTTTCTCAGTTGATAGAAAAGTCAAAATATGTTGAACTTTCACGTTCAATTTTTGAAATGGTAAAAGAATGGGTGAGCAAAAAAGCTGAACCATATCCAACGATGGAGGAAAAAGGCAAAATATTAGTTAAGATGCTATGCTACGAATCTCTGGAAGACAAAAGTTTGATCGAAGATTATTTGGATCTTGTCATTAAAATTTATAGTGATCATTCATTTACTAGATCAGAATTAACAGTAAAACTGGAAAAAGCATTCCTTATGGGCACACGCTATGGAAATCCTAAATTGCGTAATCGGTTCATGGACAAATTTGACCACAGTTTGCCCAAAATCTTGTCAACGCGTCTTTCCTACGTGATATCTATACAAAATTGGGAATATCTTTCTAATTATTTCTGGATTCATCAGGCATTGGATATATTACTTGGATCAATTTCTTCTAAAAAAAGGATTCAGCCACCATTACATTGTCTACAAACTAAAGCTGTTACCGAAGTTGGTGTTCCTTATTGTGCATGGCAATCACCAAACATAAACGATGAGTTTAGAGAATTTATGGACAATCATCAAAATTTTTTAAGTGATATGAAAAAATTGCGTGTAAGCGATTTATTATCACCTTTAAAACAACTTCATCGTTTGGATGACAATGTTGCTTACAAATTTTGGGTTGACCTATTTCCAATATGTTGGTCTGCTATATCGAATAAAGATAGACAAGAATTAACCGATAACCTAGTATCGCTCTTGTCAAAAGAATATCATTCAAAGCAAATTGATGAGAGACCAAATTGCATACAAGCCTTGTTAGATGGTATATCTCGTTGTACTCACGTTATCAAATTACCTCCACATTTAATAAAATATCTTGGAAAATCTCACGGCGCATGGCACATTTCCATGGAAATGCTTCAACGAACAGTTTGTGATGGTGATAAAGAAGATGAGAAATACAAGGATAGTACTTTGGATGCTCTAGCTGACTTATATTCTTCTTTAACTGAAGATGATATGTATTACGGATTATGGAGGCGACGTTGTAAATTTAGTGAAACAAATTCAGCAATATCTTATGAACAAAGCGGAAACTGGGTACAAGCACAGATAACTTACGAAAATGCACAGAATAAGGTTAAATCTTCGGGTTCACAATGCAATGAAACCGAATATTTATTATGGGAAGATCGTTGGATAGTTTGTACGCAGAAGTTACAACAATGGGACACCCTTACGGATTTTGCAAAGCATGAGAATAATATTGATTTGATGATTGAATGTAATTTCCGTTTAACGGATTGGACAATTGAAAAGGAATTAGCAGAACAAATTAATATGATGTCGGACTCATCTTCTTCACCTCGTCGTAAGGTCTATGAAACATTCATATCTTTAATGAAATCACTTCATAATCATAACTCAGAAGAATACAAGAAATTATCTGGTGAAGCGCATCAATTAACTTTGCGTAAATGGCATACATTACCCAATGTAGTGTCTCATAGCCATATTTCATTATTACATACTTTCCAATTATTGGTGGAGTTTGATGAGGCTACTAAAATGTTTACGACTTTAGCAAGCATAAATATACAAAATGCGGATAATAGAGCTAATGAATTAAAATCTATATTACAAAGTTGGAGAGATCGATTGCCTAATATGTGGGATGATATTAATATATGGAGTGATATTGTAGCGTGGAGAAGACACGTGTTCTCTGTAATCAATAAAGCGTTCGCTCAATTTCAATTACAACCTAATAATAATAATTCGATGGCCGCAACAAATTACCCGTTCCGTGGTCATCATGAAACTGCATGGACAATTAATCGTTTCGCTCATGTAGCAAGGAAGCATCATCTATCTGATGTGTGTGTGAACTTTTTACAACACATATATTCATTACCGAATATTGAAATACAAGAGGCCTTCTTAAAGTTAAGAGAACAAACTAAGTGTCATTATCAAAACCCTGGAGAAGTATCAGCAGCCTTAGATGTTATAAATAATACAAATTTGAATTATTTTGGCCCTCAACAAAAAGCTGAATTTCATACGTTACGTGGAATGATACTGGCGAAGTTAGGTAGAGACGCAGAAGCAGATGATAGTTTTTCGCGAGCTGTTCAAGTTGATATGCGACTTCCCAAAGCTTGGGCAGCTTGGGGATATTATAATGATCGTAAATTTAAAGAAGATCCCGGCGATACCACTTTCGCTGCTAATGCTTTGAGTTGTTATTTACAAGCCTCTGGTTTATATAATAGTCCTAAATCAAGGAAGTTACTTATTCGTATTTTATGGCTTTTATCTCTTGAAGATCCCCAAAATCATATATCACAAGTATTTGAAATATATAATAGTAAAAGTGATGTTCCAGTATGGTATTGGATAACATTCATACCTCAACTTATTGTTTGTTTAATACATAAAGAAGCCAAACACGCTCGTACTATTCTTATGAAGATTGCGAAACAATATCCACAGGTATTATTTAATTATAATCCTTTTTCACATGAATCATAGGATTAAATTTATTATTCATTTATTTATTTTTAAAAAAGGCGTTACATTACCATTTGAGAACAGCAAGGGAAGAATACATGTTAATTAAGAAGCAAGCTGCTATTTCACAACATCAGGCTCGTGCTGGACATATGTCGTCTCCTGTCGTTAACACACCTGCAACTCCAACCTCTGTGCCTACATCAACGACAAATGCTGAAGGAATGGTACAGTCAACTCAAGTAAATTCTAATGTCATGTCCAGTGGAAATGTACATCGAACAATGCAAGCAACTCAAAATCAAGCAAGCCCTGGGAACCCTAGTCCGAATCAGATAAGTCCGAATCCGATGAGCTCCCATTCGATTAATTTTGGCAATCAGTCAAATGTTATACCGCCACAACCGCCACAAAGCCCTGCAGTGCAAGGTGTAAATAATGGCATGAATATACCTACATCATCATCGAACGTACCTGTGCAATCTGTGCAAAATATTCATACCGTTTCTAACGTAATGTCTCCTGCTACAATGCCGGGTACTCCATCGAGCGGTATTCCTGGTCATGTTCCTTCAACACCAACTAAAAGTCATACTTCCGTAACACCTAATATTGTTTTGCAAGGACATATTTCTACAACACCTTCAGCAGGTATTGATGCTGGAAGGTCTCCCATTAAACCAACCATAAAACCGCCACCATTACTTACTCCGGGCATGCATACGCTACAAGCCATTAGTTCACTGAATCCACAACAGCAAGCTTCTAAACAACCATGGGAACACGTAGAAGATATCATGTCTATATTGAAAACATCATTTCCATTGTTGGCCCTTACAATGGAAACTATGGTTGATCAAATTCAACAACGTCTAAAACCGTCAGCGGATGAAGATATTTATAGGTTGATTGTCGCACTTTTGAATGATGGTTTACAGGTGAATACATTTTTTGATCTATAATCTTGTTATAAAAAGTAATACAAATAATAATTTATCGTTAATTATAGCAATTAATTACACGATTGAATAACCCTGCTGATGATGGATTCCTAACACCAATAACGGAAGCAAATATAAAACGTTTTGCAGATAATTTGTATCAGGGAGCAATTAAGGTAAATTAAATTAATATTTATCATTTATTCGCAGAATTTTATTAACATCAGTTTTATTGTTTATGAATAGGTGGCGTATGAGGAAGATTTTATCGCTCGAAAGCCTAACTTGGTAACTTACGTTGAAACCCTGCGTAAATGGAGAGATCGTTTTGAAATTGTATTGGATAGTAAACCTCAAAAACAGCATTTAGAGCATTTCAGTACTTATCTTGTCGAGTTTCAGCATCAAAAGTTTGAAGAAGTTGAAATACCCGGACAATATCTATTGGTAAACGAAAATCCAATATGTAATTAATTAATTGAACTTTTATAATATTTATCAAAATTTCTAATCATTTTATATTATAAAAATTATTAGCTCAAGGACCATAACAATACAGATCTTATACGAATCGACCGATTTTTGCCAGATGTCGAAGTTGTTAGAGTCCATGGTTTCTGTTACCGAAGGATTACAATTCGAGGGCATGATGGAAGCCTTCATCCATTCGCTGTTCAATATCCTTCAGCTAGACACAGTCGTCGTGAAGAACGAATGATGCAACTTTTCAGAATTTATAATGGGTATAAAAATTATTGCAATCCAAACCTTTTTTTCCTAAAGAAATCATAGAGAATAATAATTATTTTGTTACATTTTTAGCATGTTAGAACGTCGAAAGGAGAGTCGCAAACGCAACCTTTCTTTCCATCTCCCATTAATTGTCCCACTAGCTCCTCAAATTAGGATCGTGGAAGATGATTCTTCATATTGTTCACTTCAGGATATTTATGAAGATCATTGTGACAATACTGGAATAACAAAAGATGATCCAATTATATTTTATACTAATAAAATGAAGGCTAACTTACCTCATGTCGCAATGGTAATTTTTTTATCATCAACATTTTTGTTTATTCAATTTCTAACTTAATTTTAATAATTTAGAGACGGTATTTGTATGGGTTAAGAGTTGAAATTGCTGAACAAATTGCTACAAAATATATTCCAAATGATACGTTAACGAAGGTTTGTTACAATTATTTAAAGTTTATGAATTTTATTGGGATGTTCAGTTCATATAAATCTTTTTTATTTAGTTTATGTATAAAACTATGAAATCGCATGAAGACCTTTGGACAATACGCAAACAGTTTACCACTCAAATGGCAGCAGTTTCATTTATGACATATGTATTGTGTGTTGGGCAACGACATCCACATAAGTTCATGATTTCGCGAAACACTGGAAATATTTGGACTACAGAATTGCTTCCATGTATGTCAACAAATTTCATGTTTATTAGTGTTTTATAACATTCGATATGACTTTAATATTTTAATCATTTAATTTAGCATTCAATCCGAATCAGCCCTTGTTATTCAATGCTGAGGCAGTTCCTTTTAGATTTACGCGAAGTATTCAACATTTTATTACAAAAATTGGAATTGAAGGAGTTTTTACGTCAGGTATATTATCATTACGGAAATAAAATAAAAAAATTTAATGATATAGTTAGTAATAAGTCAATTTATCTAATTATATAGCTATGATGTCTATTGCCCGTTGTCTGACTGAACCAGAGGTATGTTATAACTCGGATCCTTTTTTTTGGAGAGGAAAATCATGCTAATATTTTATATATTTTAGTTTGATATGGGTCAATATATTGGAGTATTCATTCGCGACGAATTGATTACCTGGCATTACATGTGTCAGAAGTCAATCAGTGAACATGTACTTCGAAGTAGGGTCGCATTAAACGTGGAACAAGTTGTTCACAAAGCAAAATCAATTGCTTGCTTAGAATCTGATCGAGAAAAGTTAGATAAAGTATGTGACAATCTTCTAGTTATTAATCAATTTATAAATAAATATTGGAATTCGTATTAATTCATTTCTTTTTAAAAAAATTAAATAATAATTTAGCATGTACAACAGCATCTAAGGATCGTTAGTTCTTCACTTTTAGAACTTATTGGATCGGCTAGTAACCCACAGAATTTAGCTGCTATGGAGGTTGGTTTCAAATTACTTCTACTTTATCATCTTAGCATATAATTATTTTAATAATTCTTGATATTAATTTATTTTAATCATAATTTATTTATCATTTAAAGGTTATTTGGATGCAATGGTTATAACCATATTCATAAAAAATTGATCCGTGCTTACAAATCAATTAATAAACTTTCATCTTTTTGTAATTAATGTTAATGTTTCAGATTCTGTAATTAATATTCTGATTACTTTTTCTAAAAAAAAAAAAATTTGTATGTAAAATTACTTGTAAAAATTTTTAAATTCAATCAAAAAATTAACGGTAATAAAATAAGTTTTTTCTAAAGTAAAATTTTTTTATCTCCTTTTGGGCGAAACATTTTTTTATAATGGAAATTACTAAATTTAAAAAAAAATCTTGTAAAATTAACGAATAACAATGTTATCGAATTTTGAAAAGACAGGAACTAAATTTAGGCGAAAATGATTTAGAAATATTGAAAATATCAAAAAAAAAAAAAAATATTCGGAGCTAGTTTGTTGTTATTCCAAAATGAAGATTTTTAGAGATGGTTCGGCGACAGTTCCAACAATTGCAATTATGGAATTTATACGAAAATTAAAAAAAGGTATTTGATTTAGGGTGACATTTACAAGTAATCATATTATTTATTTGATTTTAATAATTTAATGATTTTAATATATAGTTATAGAGAAACAGAAGTTACTGTTGAAGATAATGAATTTATATCACAAATAATTAGAACAAATCATAAGGTAGGGTATATTTATTGTTATCTTGAGATGATTGAGATGCAGACAATTAAGACTTTTCTGATAAATTTATATGATGAAAAGTATTATTTATTGAAATAATTACATGATTTTATTTGTCTTTTGGTTTCTATACTATCTTATAGATTTTATTTACAGAGAAGGAAGTTATTATGCTTAGTCTTTACAATTATTTAAACCTTCCTTTTTCCCTTCATAATCATCACTATTACCATTATTTTCATCAATATCAAAAGTAATAAATGCATCACCATTACAATCATCACAATTACCATTATCACCATTACCATTAGGATTATTATCATTAGTAATATGATCATATTCAAATCAATCAACAAGGTAAATTAATAAATTTATATTATCATTATAATTTTTAATTATTCTAATTATTTTGAAATTATTATAATTCATCAAATACTTGCTATTATTGTAATAGATTAAGCTATTGGATTTATCAATGTTTTGATATCTTACAAAGATATCAGAATTACTGTTTTAAATATTGGTTAACAAAATGATTATATAGGTTAATTGTAAGAAAAATCAGGTTTTAGAAATTTTTAACAAATTAAAATTTTTATTGTATTTTTAATTTTTGATATTATTAAATTAAATACATTAAGCTTTTAATTTTAATCAAAAATTTTTCAAAATCTGATTTTTCTAGAAATTCTCTATAAAAAAAAAATTATCTATTATTTAATAATAGAAAATCATTATAGATGTAAAAATTTAAAATCAATAATAAAATATTAAATTTTTTTAAATTTAAAAATTAATTTTTTTATTTTATTTAGCTAAATTTAATACTTAATACTTATAAATCTTATATTTTAAATTAGTTATAGTCTTACTATTAATGTTAAGAAAAGTGAATTTATTATTTCTGTTTAATATAAAACTTTGAATTTTAAGATAAAAATTAAAAATATCAAGCTCTTAAATTTTATCATTTTATTAGTTGAAATTATTAAACAAGATTTATATATCAGTAATATCATTATTAAAATTAAAGCTAAAGTTAAAGTCAAAGTTTAACATTAATACTGAAGCTGTAATATGTGATTGTGATCAACCAATCACATGATTGAAAATAATTAACAAATTTAAGAAAGTAAACAAATTAGATAATATGATTAAGTGATCATATTTAATCTATTAGATATATTAAATAAATTAGTTATAGTTATTATATTTGTTAAAATTATTGTTATTTATCACTTTTATTTTTTTTATTTTAATTTAATTTAATTATATTATTATCATATTAATAATATTTTACAATTTAAATTTTTTTTTTATTTTTATATACTATTATATTGATATTTTTTTTAATATTTAATATGGTGCAAACGGCTTAGTTGCATCAAATAGCTAAGCCACCGCTGAAAATTTTGCCAATCATTTCCATATTAAATTCGTAATTTCATTGGTCGAAATCCTAACACGTGATAATTTCTAAATCACGTGATCAGTTTTAAATCATGTGATAATTGTTAA